ATCAGACATATTGTCTGCTCTGAGACCTTCTGTCCTGTTCATTTTTATTCCCTTCTCTGTTGTGATAATAACCCAGAGAGCACTGCTGTTGCTGCTGCCGACAGCACAGGGCCAGAACTTTCATCATAATTACAGCACAGCCTATTATCCTGATAGCATCAATGTGAGCTTTATCGACATTTGTCCTTTAATGGCTGCTTCTCCTGGTCCAGTCAGAAATAATCCTGAGTTTTATTATGTAATCACCGAGCAGGGAAGATCACAATTAAAGATCACAACAAATCAGCTTGTTGAATAACCATTTGATTTATCATAACTGCGTATTCTTGAACTCATTTCTTTTCTCCACACGACCGACAGGAAGCATGCCAAAGCTACTGGGTCACATTAGCATTTTCTTCATAAAATCTTCCTTATCTCCTTACTCTGCATGCAGGAAGGCTTTAATCCCAGCTCCTCGTCGTCGTCTTCCTCCGCTTATCTGGGTTCGGGTCGCGGGGGCAGCATCCCAACTAGGGAACTCCAGACCGTCCTCTCCCCGGCCACCTCCACCAGCTCCTCCTGCAGGACTGCAAGGCGTTCCCAGACCAGATTGGAGAAGTAACCTCTCCAATGTGTCCTGGGTCGACCCGGGGGCCTCCTGCCAGCAGGACATGCCCGAAACACCTCCCCAGGGAGGCGTCCAGGAGGCATCCTGACCAGATGCCCTAACCACTTCAACTGACTCATTTCGATTCGGAAGAGCAGCGGTTCTACTCCGAGTCCCTCCTGAATGTCCGAGCTCCTCACCCTATCTCTAAGGCTGAGCCCGGCCACCCTACGGAGGAAACTCATTTCGGCCACTTGTATCCGCGATCTCGTTCTTTCGGTCATTACCCAAAGCTCATGACCATAGGTGAGGATTGGGACGTAGATCGACCGGTAAATTGAGAGCCTGGCTTTCTGGCTCAGCTCCCTCTTCCCCACGACAGATCGGCTCAGCGTCCGCATCACTGCAGACGCCGAACCAATCCGCCTGTCGATCTCCCGATCCCTCCTACCCTCACTCGTGAACAAGACCCCGAGATACTTAAACTCCTCCACTTGAGGTAGGACCTCTCCCCCGACCCGGAGGTGGCAAGCCACCCTTTTCCGGTCGAGAACCATGGTCTCAGATTTGGAGGTGCTGATCCTCATCCCAGCCGCTTCACATTCGGCCGCGAACCTACCCAGCAAGAGCTGAAGGTCAGAGCTGGATGAAGCTAGGAGGACCACATCATCCGCAAAAAGCAGAGACGAGATTCTCCTGCCACCAAACTCGACACACTCCACACCACGGCTGCGTCTAGAAATTCTGTCCATAAAAGTGATGAACAGAACCGGTGACAAAGGGCAGCCCTGGCGGAGTCCAACCCTCACTGGGAACAGGTCCGACTTACTACCGGCTATGCGGACCAAACTCACGCTCCTCTGGTAAAGGGACTGAATGGCCCTTAACAGAAAGCCACCCACCCCATACTCCTGGAGCGTCCCCCACAGGGTGCCCCTGGGGACACGGTCATAAGCCTTCTCCAAATCCACAAAACACATGTGGATTGGTTGGGCAAACTCCCATGCCCCCTCCATCACCCTTGCAAGGGTATAGAGCTGGTCCACAGTTCCACGGCCAGGACGAAAACCACATTGCTCCTCCTCTATCTGAGATTCAACTATCGATCGGACCCTCCTCTCCAGTACCTTGGAGTAGACCTTTCCAGGGAGGCTGAGGAGTGTGATCCCCCTATAGTTGGAACACACCCTCAGGTCACCCTTCTTAAAGATGGGGACCACCACCCCGGTCTGCCACTCCCTAGGAACTGCCCCCGATGACCACGCAATGTTGTAGAGACGTGTCAACCATGACAGCCCTACAACATCCATAGCCTTGAGATACCCAGGACGAACCTCATCCGCCCCCGGGGCTCCGCCGCTGTGTAGTTGTTTGACTACCTCAGCAACTTCTGCCCCCGAGATCGGACAGTCCATCCCCAGGCCTCCCAGCTCTGGTTCCTCCTCGGAATGCGCATTGGTAGGATTGAGGAGCTCCTCAAAGTATTCCTCCCACCGTCCGACTATAGCCTCAGTCGACGTCAGCAGCTCCCCATCCCCACTGTAAACAGTGTGGGCGAGTTGCTGCCTTCCTCTCCTGAGGCGAAGGACAGTTTGCCAGAACCTCTTTGGAGCCGATCGATAGTCTTTCTCCATGGCCTCACCAAACTCCTCCCACGCCCGAGATTTTGCCTCGGCAACTGCCACTGCTGCACCCCGCTTGGCTATCCGGTACCTGTCTGCTGCCTCCGGAGACCCACAGACCAGCCACGCCCTGTAGGCCTCCTTCTTCAGCCTGACGGCTCCCCGAACCTCTGGTGTCCACCAGCGGGTACGGGGGTTGCCACCACGACTGGCACCGGCCACCTTACGACCACAGCTAGCAACAGCCGCCTCGACAATCGCAGAGTGGAACAAGGCCCACTCGGACTCAATGTCCCCCACTGCTCTCGGGACATGGTCAAAGCTCTGCCGGAGGTGGGAGTTGAAGACCGTCTTGACAGGTTCTTCTGCCAGGCGTTCCCAGCAGACCCTCACTATGCGTTTGGGTCTGCCAGGTCTACGCGGCATGTTCCCTTGCCATCTGATCCAACTCACCACCAGGTGGTGATCAGTTGACAGCTCCGCCCCTCTCTTCACTCGGGTGTCCAAAACATACGGCCGCAGGTCAGATGATACGACTACAAAATCTATCATCGACCTGTGACCTAGGCTGCCCTGGTACCAAGTGTACCGGTGGGCATCCTTATGTTCGAACATGGTGTTCGTTATGGCCAAACTGCGGCTTGCACAGAAGTCCAATAACAAAACACCGCTCGAGTTCAGATTAGGTGGGCCGTTCCTCCCAATCACACCCCTCCAGGTCAAGCTGTCATTGCCCACGTGAGCATTGAAGTCCCCCAGCAGGACAATGGAGTCCCCTGATGGAGCACTATCTAGCACTCGTCCCAGGGACTCCAAAAAGGGTGGGTACTCTGAACTGATATTTGGCCCATAAGCACAAACAACAGTCAGGACCCGTTCCCCGACCCGAAGGCGCAAGGAAGCTACCCTCTTGTCCCCCGGGGTAAACCCCAACACACAGGCAGAGAGTCTCGGGGCTAACAAAAAGCCAACCCCAGCCCTCCGCCTCTCACCCGGAGCAACTCCAGCAAAGTAGAGTGTCCAACCCCTCTCCAGGTCTCGGGTTCCAGAGCCAATGCAATGTGTCGAGGTGAGTCCGACTATATCTAGCCGGTACCGCTCAACCTCTGCCACAAGCTCCGGCTCCTTCCCCGCCAGCGAGGTGACGTTCCATGTCCCAAAAACTAGTTTTCTTGTCCGGGGATTGGACCGCCAAGGCTCCCGCCTTGGTCTGCCACCCGATTCACATTGCACCGGGCCCTTCATGTTCCTCCTGCGGGTGGTGGGTCCACAGTTGGACGAGCCCATGTATCCGGTTCGGGCTGGGCCCGGCCGGGCCCCATGGGCGAAAGCCCGGCCACCAGGCGCTCGCTCACGGGCCCCAACCCCAGGCCTGGCTCCAGGGTGGGACCCCGGTAACCCTCCGGGCCGGGTACTCCGACTCTTCGTTTTAACCGCCATGAAAGATCCTTCGAACCGTTCTTTGTCTCACCCTTCACCTAAGACCAGTTTGTCATGGGAGGCCCTACCAGGGGCACTAAGTGCCCCAGACAACATAGCTCCTAGGATCATTAGGGCACTCAAACTCTTCCACCACGATAAGGTGACGTTTTTTTTTACTGCCAAAGCTAATCTATGTTGTTTTATGATATTTATCCTGACTAGTCAGGGCTAAGCCTTTAGGATGATAATTATTTTGTTTTTAATTAGAAAACAGTCATGCTGGCTGTTTTGCATGATAATAGGACTGAACACAAATATAAACAAAATAATTTACAATTGTTGACAATTAAAAATCTGATTTTAGAAGAGTTATAGTAAAGAAATCTGTCAGAGGTAAACTTATAATGAACACATAAAACCATTAAAGTATCATTACTGAATGTGTGAAAAGTGCAAACATGAACGTGTTTTCAGAATAACATTTGAAACATTTCAACAATATTTTAATATATAAGGCATCAAAACAAAACCTTGAAAAAATCTCTGATATTTGGGGAAGAGTCAAAAATACATAAAAGTTAGTTAATGAACTGTCGCTTTGTTTTAGTGTGAAAAATAAAGTTTAAACTATTAGAAAACATGTAAAAAATGTCTAACAAAACAAAAACATCAGTTTAAGAAAAAGCTTAATTCTTAGTTCAGTTAACGAAACAGTGAATGGTCGAGAGTGGATCAGCTTTGTTTTGTGCATTTCAACCAGAAAAGACAAGGAAATTTGTCAGTTTGAACCACAAACCTGCAACTTTGCTCCTTTTGAATGAATTTTCTTACGTTTTGTGCAGGTACAAGTTGACCTGCCTCTGACATATTCTGGGATGGAAAAGGAAGAAAGCACAGCCTCTGAGAAGCCAGGTGAGTCTCACCTGTTGCTTTACATGGTTCTCTCTCTCTTTCTCCCTCTCTCTCTCTCAAAGTCTGAACAATGGGCTCAGTAAGAAACAAGGAAATGCTTAAAATGTTCAATTAAGTGTTCTTTTTTATGTCATTGTAAAGGTTCTTCAGCTGATAATAACAATATGGAGTCAGAGGCAGAACCAATGATATCATCTGGACAACAGGAAGTACCCACGGAGCAAGAGGAATCCAATGGGGATGATCAGAATTCACAGACCAGAGTTTAATTAGGAAGATCAGGACTTTTCACAACGAGAAAAAAAATCTCTCTAGTTTGGTGTTTTGCCTTTTTCGTGGAGCTGCTGTAGGAACGGATGGGCGGGACTTCAGAAAGCTGGAGTCTCACCAAAGCTGCACAGAAACTCGCCTCAAAATATTACAGAAGACACAAAGACATCAAATGAACTCCTGGATGAAGTTAAGACAATTCAAATATTTGTTTTAATAAAACATGTTTGTGCACATACAGAATGATTCATACCTGTGCTTGTGCATTTCTCATGCAGCCAGGCAAGTTTCAAAATAAAAGCGTTACTTTTTATCAGAACGGGAAAAAGAAGAGATTTTATAGTCAGAGCGAGCGGTTCTCCACTTGAGGAAGGCAGGCGTGACAATTACAGAATTATGTTTCACATAGTTCTCTCTCTCTCTCTCTCACACACACACACACACACACACACACACACACACACACACACACACACACACGTTCTACAGCACTCATGTGCAACTCTGGAACATCAGTAAAACAGTTTTAAAATAACAAATCTAAAAATTATTCATCCTAAAGCTCTCATTTCCAATTCACTTGGGAACGTGTTAATTAAACAGTTAGCAGGTAAAATCCTGAACACACCATCTACATATCTGATGGTTCTATCGGACTGGTGTCCTTTGCTAAAGTGCACTGCAGACATGATGCCAACTAAAAGAGCTTCAAACAGCTACCATCTTGGATCAAAACACAGATAAACATCATCAACTCTCGCATGCATGTTGAACTTGCACACATTTCTCCACCCCAACAGATTGCACATTAATCAGAATCTGGATGAGACAAAAATAACATAAACAGAGTTAAATAAAATAAACCGACGAGGATAGGGAATGAGTTTGACCTTTTCTATGTCTCAAATTCCTCCAGGCCCAGCAGCACAATTTTGGCGGTGTTCTGGAAGAGCGCCGCGCGGTTCTGCTGCTCCCCTTTCTTCACCCAGTGGCCATAGATGCGGAAAGCGCAGCCATCGATGAGCTTGCGGATGCCACGGAGTGAGTAGGGATCCCTGGCCAGCACCTCTCGGGTGAGTGGCCGAACCTTGCGGAAGCGGCTGTAAATCCTGATACAGGCTAGCACACTTACGATCAAAACCTGGAGGAAATGAGGCATAAAAGGAGCCGTTACATGCATGCTCATGTGCAGGTTAAACAAAATTAAATAAATATGAAGCTGCTAATCACCCTAAATGTCTTCCTGGGACTGAAGAGGTGCACGTCCTCCCTCTGGTACTTTCTGAAAAAGGAATGAGCTAAGGCTTGCTCTGCAGTGAGCCGAGCAGCTGGGTCGACCACCAGCAACCTGAAAATCTGAGCATCAACAACAAAAACTCATGAAAACACGATTATTCCCGAATACAGGTGTCAGACTTTACCAAAACCTCCAGTTTACCAGCTAAAATCTCAGCCTACCAGGTCCTTTACTGTGTCAGATCGGTCGTCCCACTCCGGCGAGCTGAACTGGTAGCGGCCCTCCATGATCATCCTCAGCATTAGCATCTGTTTGCGGTGCCAGAATGGCGGTGAGCCGGCCAGCAGCGTAAAGAGGATGACTCCACACGCCCATCTTGTAAAATAAAACATGAAGAAATGAGAATGATACTCAGGAAAGCGATTTGGAGTTCTTGAACGTAAACGAGGAAAAGAAATGGAACAAAGACGTACAGATCAACCTCTTTGCCATAGCCTGGATGCATTTCATCCATGGAGCATTTCAGGATCTCAGGGGCCAAATAACCAGGTGTTCCACAGAGCTCTGATCATTACCAAAGAGAAGATGCGCCGTTTTAAACTTGTCCATAAAAAATACAACTATTCACATCACTGTTGGCAGGATCTACACATCTACACACCTCTGAGCTTCTCTCCAGGCTGTAGCTGCACAGAGAAGCCAAAGTCAGACAGTTTGATGTGACCTTGATCATCCAAGAGAATGTTCTCAGGTTTCAGGTCCCGGTGCACAATGTCCAGAGCGTGCAGGTACTGCACAGCCTCCAGCAGCGCTTGCATTATACACCTGCAAAGGAACAAGAAGACATCAGCACAGCGACAAGCAAACATCACAATGTGGATCGTAACGTAATCGTAAAAGATGCATTTGATTTCACTTGTGTGTGTTTTAAGCTGCCAGTGCAGATCTGCTTAGAGATAATCTACAAAAACGACTCTGCATGCAGGATTGGGCTGCAGCTTAAAGACACAAGCACATTTATTTGGGTAAATAAATGCATATTGCAGAATTTTTCCATTATAGCTTAAAATGCATGCATTTTCCCTATCTCCTGCATTAGCTTTTGATTTGAAAACAGTGAAACTCTAGGATTTGAAAAGCCTGACAGATCACACTGTCACTTAACATGCATGGACTTACCCATGTTGACTTGCGTTAGAGAGGGCTGTATTCAGTTTAGCATCCATTAAACAACAGGAAACATATCGGCTAGCAAAATTTAACCGTTAGCAGTAGCAAACTGAACTTCTCCAGCCTTGTATTATTTGTGGAGATAAAACATCCACGTTGCAGAGCAAGCAGAGTAAGTAGAAGAGTCACATTGCTGTTATCCAATCCGACGCAAGATGTCTAAAATATTAGCAATAAGACTTCAAATCATGCCGTGTAATTCCACTCTCTGCTGCAGCAGACTTGTCCATCTGATCCAGGTGCTTCTGGGCTTTTTTTTTTTTACCCCGAGTACTGCTTGCAAGGCATTCATTCCTGCCAGACACCACTGTACTGATTAATTGAACGTTCTACACCTTTGAATTGCATTTTACATTGATAGTTCCTTTATCCAATATTGAACTGCTCATTTTTTCTGATGTTCTGCTCTTTTTTCTGTTTTCTATGTGAAGAACCTCCTAGATTATTCAGGGATTTCTCAGAATAAGAAGTTACACATTCAGCCTTGAAACATTTAAGATCTCGTGGAAGATTCTTGAGATGCTGTGGTTAAGGTTACCTGGGTGACTTTATCCTCCCTGTTACCACAACAACCCCCATATCAGATCAGCAGTGGAGAAAAATACAGTATGGGCATGAAAAGTGTAGCAGTATTAAATAATCATACCTGAAGGAAGTTTAAGAGAGGAATAAAACAGAAAAAAAACAGCCAATCATTGTGGACTGTAATCAAAAGCATCAGGAAGTGTTAAAAGTGTCCATATCATTGTTGTTTGGACATTTTAAACTTTGTAACTGTCAAACAAAACAATGTGTTCTTTACTTTCTATTTAAGCACTTCCAAAAACAGGCCGCTCCTCTCAGACTGTGCTCAGCTGGGAACTGTGCCTTTTTAGCCAACCTTTTAATAAATAATCAGCACCATCATGCAGCGAGATGTGTGAAAAGGTTTGGAGAGGATTTTAATGAAACATGAACAGCATAAAAATACAAGACAGCTTTTGTTGTAGGAGGTGAAACAAACACACAGCCCTGTATTTCTGCAGATGAACAGCTGCATTAACTGTCTGAACAGGACGGACACGGTGGATTAAACAATAAATATAGCAGTCGCTCAGAAGTGTTTGGGAAGCATCTGCACATATTTTTTGGAGCTTGGAGTTTCGTGTTTTTCGGCGTGCTCTAATGAGGAACTGGTGGCGCGCCAAGCAGCCTTCAACATGATTAAACTTGTACAACTCATTAGGCGGCAGTGATTGAATATGCAGACATGCAAACAGTAAGATTTATGAGCCTGTGACCTTGCAGGCAGGCAGCACATCAGAGCGCCCTGCACGGAAAAAGCATCGTCCAGTAGTTTTGAATCCCGCTGTGATAATTTTCAGAAACAGCCGGCGGCCAATCCCGGCTGCAGCTGGGAACGATTTCCCAGAGTGGTGACCAATCAGGACTCCTGTCATCAGAGCGGCAGAGCTGGACTTAACAGTTGATCTCTGCTGACAGCTCAACGCCCGAGGCAAGTTCCTGCAGAAAGGAACACCAGCGTAACATTCAGGTTTCCTTGCTGGAAAAACGTATCTTTGGTGGTTGGGAGTGATGAATGCTGGATGATCCCACCACCTGCTGAGTGGATTGAAGTGTGCTTCTGTGGGAAAGTTATGAACAATCGATGTCTTCACTTTTACAACATCAGTTTGGCAAAACAGAGCCAAAGACAACAGCTAATTTGAGTGATGGCTGTTGCGAAGGGGATTCCTACTTTCTCACAACAGCTTCAGTAAAAAAATTGTTTGTTTATATGAGCCTTAAAACAGCCATACGCTTCACATTGCTGCTTTGTTTACATAGAATAGGGCTTGTGATCATGACGTCATCACCGATGCAGCCGCCCCGTTGGAGGCGCGTGAGTTTTTACTTGTTGCTTGTCATTACTGTAAACATCACGCTTAGTCTCATTCTTGCGGCTTAAATTAATCTGTTATTCATCTGGTCGGGGCGAATGACATCCCCGCGCACATTACATAGCTTACGGAAGCAGGAAACATGGTGTAGAAGCGGCACATGCACTCTAGTTTGGTTATATTTTACAAAAATGAATTACAACAGGATAACTTGCAATAATTACAAAGTAGATCAAGAGAGGAAGCATTCCGAATATACAAAAGCCTTTATGCACAAAATACACTAAAACTTAGAGTTATTGATGTGTTTTGATCCATTCCACATTAGTGAATATCGATGCAGCAGCGGTGACGCTCGCACATCCTCTCCTGTAACACTGCAGGTAACTAATCAGCTAACGCTGTTTATCATGTTAGCGTCATTTACCTTATATTTACACCTCAACACTAGCAGACTCCAGAGTCAAAGGTCTGACCTGTGGTGAGATTTTTCCCACTCTACAAAAGCTACAGCAACACTGCACCGAACAAGATGATTCTGCTTTCACAGGGAGCATAAAGGAGAACACTTGGAAAAATAATTCCAAACATTGCAGGTTCAATTGATTATTTATCATAAAGAAACTGGCAGTTACAGCGCAAGAGCCGTGTGCAGTTAGTTTTATGCCACCTGTTTAACTACTCTGGAATTAATAAGGGAATTGATAAGGAATTGGATCACAGACACAATCGATTGATCCATTGATATTGATAAAAAACATATCAATTCCCACCCCTACTGTGGAGGTCATTGGAGTCCATTGAAGTCCTCGTGGTCATGTTCTGGAAACCAGTTAGAGATGATATGAGCTTTGTGACATGGTGCAATGTCCTCCTGGAAGCAGTCATCAAAAGATGGGTCTTTGTGGTCATAAAGGAATGGACATGGTAGCGGTAAGCTAGTTTTTTTAGATTTAAGTTTAAACTAACATCTAACCTTTTTATCTTCACCATCTTTAAAAATCTTTTACTAGAGCGGGTTGATTACTGTTTTTTCACGACCATAGGGCACACCGGGTTATAGGGCGCGGGCACGGTAAAACGTACCGGTAAAACATCTGTGCGGGCTCGGGACTCGGAACATATCAGTGCAAACCAGACATTGTGAAAATTATAAACAGCCAAAAGCATGATTCACTTTACTGGTCAAGTCCTGGTTCTGACCTGGTTTAGAGCGCACGTGCACTTCCTTATTGCGTGCGCTGACGGCTCGTGCTCTTCTTATGCGCTGATGCGCTATGTTGAAGTTCAGAATGTGTTTACCGGTAGTTGGTGGATTTAACCACATAAACTTTCCACATGAACAAAATCATATGTATGTTATGAATAGGCCTAAGAAAATAGTACGTTTTCCAACTTCCTCCACTTGCGAACCATGGACTCATTAATGCTGAATTCTCTCGCTGCTGCTCTATTCCCGTGTTTCTCCACGTAGCTGATCGCTTGCAGTTTAAACTGTGCTTCATAGGCGTGTCTCTTAGCAGGTGCCATTCTCAGGGTTGTCAGAACAACGTTCAGCATACCGCGCATACCTGCCCTTTTGAACTATTCGGGGTCTGTCTTCGCTCACGTCCACACGTTCACGCCATGCCCCTTGCCGTTCTCGCCACACCCCTAGTCTTCTACTACGCGTCTCACAACAACACAATAGGCGCACCACAACATAGGGCGCGGCGTACATTTTGGAGAAAATTTAAGACTTTTAGGTGTGCCTTATGGTCGTGAAAATACGGTATTTGTGTGGAGGGAAGTAATGTTCTCATTGCATGGTTGTATTTATCTAATAAATCAATTACACTAATAATGCTTTTTGTTACTGGCCCAGCTGTGACTAGTCGTTAGCTTGTCAATCCAGCCACAATTTCATCTCAAAGAGATATCTGCAGCAGATAAAATATTAATTGTCTCCTTAAATGATCTAAACCATCGCTCTGTCTGAGGCAAACATTAAGAGTCATCTAAATATTCACCTCAGTTATTTTCCTCTTGGATTTTATTTGCTCAACCATCCCTCCTCACCACCACCACACCCCAAAATAAAAAAGAAAGAAAGAGAAGCGAGTACCAAAAATCTTAGGTTGTTGACGATTTGAATAAGCAGTGAAACAAGCACTTCACATTCATGCTCAAAGCCTGATTAGAGTTGGAGAAGCAAGTGGTCCAGATGGAGTTTTCCATTGCAAGTGGAGATTTAGCATGCAGAGGTTATATTCTGGTCAGGATTACACTTGTAGCCACATTTCTCTGTTTGGGCAAGCATAACGGCCCTCCAAACCAGAGGTATCTATTGATCACATTGTGCTCCTGTGCAACGCCGGCTGTCAAGATCTCTGTGAATAAAAACAATAACAGCTGTGGAGAGGGACAATGAGACAGAGCATGGAGGAGATGCTGCTAAATGGAAGGAGACATTCTACAGTGAAGAATCGGAGTGTCCACACAACCGGCTTCAGAGTAAAAGCACACACAAAAGACTTCTGACAAAGATGGTTGTCCTAGTTTGTTTTTCCTGATGTAGTCATCATTAGTGAGGCAGTGAAAAACAGCTCACTCACCTTGGAAATGGCAAGAAGAAACAATGAGGGGGAAATGAAAAAGAACTCTTCAGGGAGAACGAAAGGTTTCGGCGGCTAATTGTGGTAGTTTTTCTGCATAGTGGATCAGCACACGCGCTGTAGTCTTTGTGCTGCAGCAAAAACAGTCTCAGAGGACAGCAGAGGGGGAACGAAGTGTAATGAATGAAAACACAGTAGAATATGTTCACATCATCGCTTTCAGAGGTGGCAAAAAACCCCTGAAATGTCTGAAGTGTGCTGTGAAATGGTTTGGTTGAATCCAGAAGGGAAATTGGTGCAACATCACTAGTGTCACGTGACATCTGTAGCATGATGTCTTATTTCACGCAATTTCCCCACCGTTCCAACTGCTGAAACCATTAAAACGTAATGAACCCTCAGAAAGGGCTGCATTCCAGACTAAAAATTGCATCCATAATTATGATGACATGTTCAAGCGGAAAGATTCCTGCAGCTGCTCACAGCCGAGATGTGAATCCAGTTCCTGGAAGAGATGACAGAGATGGCGAGGAAGGATAAACATGACCCAAAGCCACAACAACGCAGACTGAGAATCACTCATCTGGAAGAAAAATAAAAGTGAACTTTTGTATTTTTTTATGTTCCCTTTCACAACATCTTAGCTTTTACATTTTGCTCTGCTGTCAGATACAAGTTCTCCAGGAGTTCTCTATGCTCATGTTTTATTCCTGTTTATCCAAGAAAATAAATAATATCAATGAAAATGTGTTGGAAAACGTAATTTCTGACATTTCTGGCATACACTTTAATTTCTTGTTTAAATCATTTCTTATTTTGAATATTTATTCTAGAATAAAATGACACATATTTGATATTAGCTTAAATCTGATTTTTGGGAGTTGTAAATGTTAATTGTACAGATTAACAACCATAATCGTTTAGTCTGAAATAAAATGCATTTGTAAAGTATTTCAGAGCTTGCATTGCTGTTTCATCTTTTAAAAGACAAATGAACCAAGAGTGATGCTGAACGCTCCCAATAACAAACCCTTGAAACGTCACGAAATGGCCTGATTTTGAGATCCCACAGGTCAAATTCACAGCCAGGTCAACTTACCCCTGGCTATGACAACCTACAATCCATTCCCCTCACAGGAGTCTGGGAGTCTGCACGTAGTCCTTTAATCAGAGCATTCTTTCTTACATCAGCTGGACTGCAGCTCTGAGAGATAATAAAACATAAACAATAATATGTAAGGTTAAGTTAACGCATGACACATAGTTAACCTTTTGCCCAGATTCAGAGTGTCCAGATCGAAGAGGCTGTGTTCTGAGATGCTTGGTAATATCTTCAAACTTGTCAACCTGTGGTTGGCTAGTCCATTATAACATCAATCCATTAAAACTAGCCAGCTCTGGTTTTTCCCTCAGTTCAAACAGTTCAACAGTTTGAGGGTTCTAGAGAAAAGCTTCAGACCGGCCATCTGAGTGAAAGCCTCTTTAACCAGAAGGATTTTGACACGTTGTCAAAACCTTAAACCTTTTTCGCACCTGAGAAGCTGAAACAACAAGATAGTTTCCTGCAGAACAAAGCTGACTCAAAACTCCTTCAGAGTTATTTTTAAGACGCTCGGTGTCATCTATCGTTGTGACCCGGAGACATCTGAGGACTGATTTGGTCGCATCGAGGTTCCTCTATGAACCAGGTGCAGTGGGGTAGTCGGCTCCTGGACGTCTCGGATCCAAACAGGGTCTCCAAACGGGTGAGGTAGAGCGCAGCGAGATAGCGTCTGCATGTGGTTTTGATAATAACAACTTTCTAGCTTATTTTCAAACCAAATTCTTTCCATCCAGAACTCCGATTTCTGAGATACGGAGACTCTGAATACATCATATTCACACATAAGTTCCAGACACCATCCTTAGTTCCATCCACTCACAGTATAATAGTTTAACCAATTTGTCAAGTCTTAATTGTTTGTAAAATAAAGTCTTTAATTTTATAAACCTGACTGTTTCTTGAATACAACGTAGTGTGTACGATCCCTTAATGAATAAAAGAATCCTAGAATCTTCTGACTAAAACAATAAGACCAAGCAGGTGATATTCTATTTAAATAGAGTATCACCACTTATTGGTCACAAGTAGTGTTACAGTTTTTCTCAATTGTTTACACACATTTTCTGAAAGCATGCCCCATATTTTCAGAACTCTACACACAAATCCAGAAAATACACACACAATGGGCAAAACCCCTCACTTAACCTGCAAAATTAAACTTCACATTCAAAACAATGTACTTTCACCTCAAAATGTGATTTTGTTGTCAAATGACACACACAAACCATCATATGAATAGACATTTATAAGAACCAGCAGAACACTCGTGCTCAATGTTAAACACTATGATGAACGGAAAACACGTCTTCTCCATTCATCATAATGACTAAAGCCCTTTTGGTTCAGTGTTACACCTGCTACAGACAGTATATACATGCATGTGTTGTTATTTCAGAATATTGTTTTTACACTCTGAACACACAAATACATGGTAGAAATGATTTTATTTTTCCCACAAAACATTGTAACAATGTTTATCCCATTCCCAACCAACACAAAGTTGCACACATAAACTACATACAACAGAAATTTACTGTATACAGTTACAGTAAAACAATAAAACTATGCTGCATCCTCTCTTCTGTTGCGGTCTGGCCACAGCGCCTCATCCACATCACAAGCAGTGTTGTCCCTGGCCAAGCAGCGGGGGAAATATCTCCTAGCATGGCGATTCCAGCCAAGAAAAGAATCAGCTGCTATATCTCCACATGCGTCCTCCATAGCTTGGAGAAGAGGTATACGGGTTTGTGGCTGTCGGTCACACACCTTCCATCTCCATGCAGAAAACAATTCCTCAATGGGATTGAGGAATGGAGAATATGGAGGGAGATAAACAACTAAAAAGCATGGGTGGCCAGTGAACCAGTTACAAACCACAGCAGCCCGGTGGAAACTTACGTTGTCCCAAATGGCAAAGTACCTGGGCTGTTCTGGACCATCTACCTGATCTGGTGGAATGAGTGTGTTATGTAGGGTGTCCAGGAATGTGATCAGATGGGCGGAGTTGTAGGGGCCAATGGTGATGGATGATGCCATGGTAGCCAAGCGCTGCACACATTGTGATGTTCCCTCCGCGCTGGCCAGGGACTTCAACAATGGCACGCTGGCCAATGATATTCCTTCCCCTCTTTCGTCTTTTTGTGAGATTGAATCCAACCTCATCAATGAAGATGAACTGGTGCTCCACTGCAGCTGTCTCAAGCTCAAGGACTCTCTGAAACACATGTGACAATATCAGAAATAAACATGGAGTGGTCACTAGTGTGAAGCACAGTCATTATGATTACAATATTGAAATATGTATAATTTACTGTACACAGTGTTGAGTGTATGCATTAATTGTGGGACTCACTTGCACATAGTTATATCGCAATTCTTTGACTCTTTCTGAGTTTCCTTCAAATTGCACCCTGTTGACCTGTGGCTCAGATCTCATCAGAGATTACGGTCCTTGGTCTTCCTCTTCCTCATCATCATCCTCCCCGTCCTCCTCCTCTTACTCTCACTCCTCTGGCTCTGCCTCTGTTTCCAAAGTTGGCATCCATTGCTCCAACACAGAAGAGCTCACCTGTTGCCCTTTTATGCTAAAGTTCTGTTTGCTGATTGTAAAACTGTGTGACGGGTGTTTGCCCTTGTGATGAGTCAGTGTGCACATTTGAATAGCTGTGTGTTCCTTGCGAGAACAAGATAGTTCCTGTATGAAAATTGTGCCAACAGCAGAGAATTGTGTGTAGTGTTTTGAAAAAAGTGTGTTTTAGATTTGCTATTTGAGTGCAAAGCAGGAATTGTGCTTGTAGTTTCGCATAATTGGTTAGGGGGGTTGGTTACTTGGTTACATGTTGTGGTAATTGTGTCTCAAGTACCAGAAAATGTGTGTAAACAATTGAGAAAAACTGCAAATATATTTTTTACTTTTTTCTAAATTCTTTTTTATATTTTTACATTTTTGTTTTTGTGAAGCGCCTCGTGATTTTTATCTTGAGAGGCACTATAGAAATTATATTTTCTTCTTCTTCTTCAATGTGGTCAACCAGTGTTGCGCGGATCTCATTTGTCAGATTCGGTCCTCTTTGAGCACCTTCTTGTCTTTGTCTTCCTCTTCTTCTACCTCCAGCATGGAATCCATCTCTTCCTCTTCCTCTGTTGATTCCTCTTCCTCCCCTTCCTCCTCCGCCTTCTCGTCCTCCTCCTCGTTGTCATCTTACTCTTTCTCTGACTCTTTCCATTGTGCTTGAAGACCGATTAACTTACCTGCTGCTTTTTATAGTGCTTACACACCTGATTGGTGTGTCTACAATCAAGCAAACAAGTATTTGCACACCTGATGACTGTGTTGAACCAACTGATTGGACGGTGCGGTAATTTGACAGTCAGTGCTTTGGTATTGCAAGGAAGTGACTTCATGATAGATTTTTGTGTGTGGTTTATTTTAAGTGTGTTTAGTGTTTTGCAAATCACTGTGTGTAGAGTTTTGCAACAAGTGTGAGGTTGTCAATGTGCTTATAGTTGTGCTAATGTGGGCTGATGTTTTGCTTCTTGAGTGGAAGATTTTGCTAAGAGTTTACTACTTTTAATTTTAGTGTGTAAGCAATCAAAAAACTGTAAAACCAGTCAGATCACCAAGGATCAGTGACCAAGAAAGAATGAAAAAGTAAGTAATGATGAGTGACTTTCTAAGGATGAATTAACAAAATGGCAAATTGGATTTGTTCTCCGTTGTTTCTGTTTTTCTTCTGTTTTTACAGTGTTGCATTATCTCGCATCAGAACAGGACTCGGGATTGGAAGATAATCAAAATCAAATAACTTGAACTCAGATCAGGGGCAAAAAATCTTGCTGTAGCATCCCTAGAAATAAGTCAGCATTTAAAATTAAAAGAACCACTAATGAAATAACATTACCTTCAATTAATGAGACAGAAGGAAATATTTTCCTAGTTTATATTATTTTGTTTGAACCCAAGGGACTCATTTTATCTGAATTTTCAGAAACTTGTTGGATCGTGAATCTGTTTTAAAATCTTACAGTATATGTTTCCCTTTTTTAACTTTGAGCACCCGCCCCTTCAAAGGTCTTTGCATGTCCCTGCACAAGAAAGAATAATTATGTCTGGATGTGGAGTTGACCTTTGACAGCAGCCCTCATTGCCATTTGTCTCGTTAAATGCATAATCTTCACCTCTGTCTGATATTTTCTTTGGTTCATAGCTTTTCAATTCATGCTATTAATATTAGTGTGTGTGTG